GGGTTTTGTTGACATTAACTATGGTATAGAAACCTGATCAGGAAAGGTTTGCTGTTATTACTGCTTTGGATACGAACTTAGGCGTCTCACCACTCTAAGTAGCTGATTAGGGGAGGGAGTAATAGTCTACTTGATTATTGGTTACACATATGGAATAAATCCTATTTTAATGGTGTCTAATGAGCCTTTCATTTTTAGAACCTTACACAAAAGCCTCTAATAGAAAGGGAAAGTAATATTTCAAAGGTCATCTTAATGCCATTGAATGTCAACAATTCGTAATCAAGCTAATATATATAGATGGTGATTACAGTCCAGTTTTGATTCTTTAAATATGACATAATCTTCTAAATTAGCAAAGTGGTGCAAGCTAAGGTTCTTTAGGTTTGAGGCAGCTTAAACTTTCTAATTAAAGTTTGTTACTTGAAAACAGCTTCAGAGTTAAAGATATTTTTCCCAGAGTGAGGCTTCAGGCAGTGCAGTATTTTCAAAACACATGAGTTTTAAAATTCTATCACTTATGGTTTCATGCACTGTTCTCATATGTGTCGTTAAAGCCACTGAAATATACAAGTGGAAAAAACAATGGCTCCCCTTTAGCGCTTTTCCTCAACAGCAGAATGTAATAGGCAACAGAAATGTGGAATGTTTTGTTGGTCAGGAGGCCACAGAAAACTTGTGGGCATACCTATTTCAGAACCAGACATCTGCCTGGTAGCATATTAAAAAGCCAGGAGTTTAAAGAATCTCTAGTAAGAGATTAGCATTCTGGGATTTTGTCCCATTTGCTGTGTGAACAGGGATAACCCAGCCCTTCCCTAGAAGAGAGATCTTTCTTTTTAGTCCTCAGATAGCTGCTGCTATGCTAGTCCATATGACTCTCGTCTGAATTAGAAATGAGTGAATTCTGCAAAACACTTTATTTCTGTCAGAAGATTTTTGTAAGAAAATGGACACTGATTATGGTATGAATGGCGTTCCCTAGCTCCCCGCTCACATTGAAGGGTTCCTCAGAATCTCCTGGAGGGCTTAACACTTGGGAGGCTGGGTCCCACCCCAGAGCTCTGATTCTGTCTGGAGTGGGGTCAGGGAATTTGTTCCTAGGTGAAATTGATGCTGGTGGTCCAGGAACCACATTTTTGAGAACCACTGCTTGGGATTCGCCAGGATACACCCTGCCCATAATACACATTGACCTTGCTTCCATCTGCACATGAGTGAATGGGAGGGGGAGAAGGCTATTTAGATAAAATTGCTAAAACAGGGAAAAATTCCTAGCAAGGACCTTGGCACAGAATAAATGCTCAATGAACACCAGACCCCTTTTCCACCCCCACTGCCCCCTGCATTACTGCCAGGTGCTTGTCTCTCTTTTGTAGTTCCATTTTTCTTCTTTCTGCTTCCCCTTTGGACTCTGAGAGTTTGTTTGTTTGTTGACTTTTTGTCTTCCTGTATATGTTCTGTTTTTGAAACTTGGACAACCTCAGGAACCTGAGGATTCAATTGTGTATCACTGGTCCTGGGTTCATGATTCCACAGCCAGCCCAGGAGGCAGAGGACCTGGGACTAGAATATTGGTCAATTTTTATGTAGGAATTGGTTGGTGGCAGTGACATGAGCAGTCAGTTGACAATTTCTTTAGATCTCAGGATGGATCTTGCACTGGAGGAACCTCAATGAGAAAGCCTCTGGCCAGACCCAAAGAAACATTCCTAATGGTCTTTGCTTCACTGAACTTAGATGTTCATTTACAAGGTGAGATGTGCTCATTAAAGATTCGGGAAACATGAAAAAAAATAAGAAGGATAAAAGGCATCCATTTGCTCAAACACCCAGAGAATTCAGTTTTGGTTTATTTTGTAACAATCTTTTGTAAGCCTAACCTAAGTGTCAGTTTATTTTTAATACATTTGCATTTCATTGAACTTGTAAATCTAGGGGTAAAACTGCCCGAGGGAGAGGAAATTCTTGTGCTGAATTACAGGGTTATTCCCTTAATGAATGATAATGATTCATTATAAAATTGTTTGCTTTCAAGTTTCATCCAGACACCCTTAGAGAAATGAACAGCACCTCCTTCCTCTTCTTGGAGAATCGCCAGTGTGACAAGTTCATTCGGGTGTGGTGCCCCCCACACTCCTGTGATGAGTTGAGTGTTCGGCCCCTACCACGCCATTTGTCAGTCCTTTAGTGCCTGATTTTACTGGTCTTGGGTTCATGGGTTTCTCCATGTGGATTTCTCCACAAGAGTGAGTGGGCGGTGTGGGGTACGAGCTCCTGCACATGTGAAACTGCCTTTCTCCTGCCTTTATTCATACAGCTCTGTGAGGTCAAGCCCTTCACTCTGAATCCTTCCCCTGAAAGGATACTGTAATGCTGCCCTGTTATCATCTGGCCTTTCTTGTGCAGTGGAGACATGGGATATCAGCTGGAATTTCATTATTTCATAGATTATGTTCTTGTTTCCATTTTTGGGTGCTCATATTTTCCTCCATCTTTGCTATTTAAAAATAGTCCGGATCTTCCAAGATGTTGATTTGCTTGGAATTTAGTGAGCCCTTTGGTCTTTTATAATTGCTTCTGTTAATAGTAATAATAGCAATTAATTGTTTTAACTGGACACATAAATAGACACTTAGCTGGAAAGACCTTGGAAACGCTAGTCTACGTACAGTTTATGTCTAACCCACATGGACAGTTTGAATTAGTCGAGTATGTTTCTGGGATCCTTCTAATCACTCTATGGTAGAACCAGGGCTCTTGTTTTATTCAGTATTCACAGAAACCTCATTAATTTATTCTAAAGTAGTTCTCCACTCCCATGCTGGTGCCAAAACAATGCAACTTTCTCTCTGACCAAGATCCGAGACAAATGTGGAGGGAAGTGGATATGGGGGCCTACCCGGGTCTGGGTATGCACCCCTGGAGCTGGCCCCAGGAGGAATCCACCCTACAAAAGAGCCTTGCGAAGAACTAGGCTCCAGGCTTGGCATGTCCAAAACCACAAGCTCATTTCAGAGCTAAATGTGGTCCACCAGGTGATTCCAAGTAAAATAAACTGCACTCCAAGAGTTTGCTGTGAGTAGACGTTCAGAAAGAACCTTAAAAACAGAGGTTTGGTTGGCCTTAGCTATGAATTGGGGGTTAATTTTGAGTCCCTTTATTCTCAAACTTGAAAACCTGTGGAAATGAACCACTTAATTCCTCTCTCCCTCTAGCGACATGGCATCGTATGCCTTTTGCTCTGCTGAGAAAAAGTAGTTATTTCGTCAGCATTCATCTTCTGTTCAGGCTAAATTTATTTTTATGTGAAATAGAAATCAGGAAAACACCAAAATTATTTTAAGCAAAATATCAAAATTGAAATAAACCAACATATGTCTGTGAAACATGTATAACTCTCAATCAAAAATAAGTGCAACTTTCATAAATTTCTTAAAATACTTCAGCGTGCAAAATCTGGACCACTTAAATAGATGGAGTTATGACATGTTTGATAATTCTTTCTACTTAGTTCATCCTTTACTTAAAGATGAAAATTCCAATAACCAAAACCTGGCCAGCTCTGGATCATCCTTCATGACCAATGTCCTCTACCATCTATTGTAATAACTAACAGAACCAAGGAGTTTTACAAAATTTCTTGCAGCAAGGTTGAGTTATTCTTGCTAATTTTGAATGGAAATCCACGTATATTCTGTCCTATCCCACCCTGACCCCCCACATTCCTCTCTAAGAAGTGACATTTCTTGAGTGCTGTAAGCATATTATGCTTTATTCTTGTAGGTTTTCCATATTTCTAAGTTTCCCGTCCAGTTGGAACTCAAATAGGATGAAAACTGTCAAAACAACAGAAATATTCTGGGGCTCGGCACCCGAGACAGTTAAAAGATAAATCCCTATCTCACCTTTCTGCTTCATTTATAGGCTTTCTCTAACACATTTTGTTTATTAGATTGTTACTTCACAACAGAAATATTCTGGGGCTCGGCACCCGAGACAGTTAAAAGATAAATCCCTATTTCACCTTTCTGCTTCATTTATAGGCTTTCTCTAACACATTTTGTTTATTAGATTGTTACTTCAAGTATTGGAATCACTTTGTCTCTACAATAGTAGATGATATTTTGCCCACAGAATATATTAAGTAGATGTTACTGTAAATAAATATTATTGACAAACCAATGACTCATGTTGAAATCTTTAGCCCTTCATTTTCAGTTCTTCTCTCCATGAATTAGATAACAAAATTTCTGAAAAATAAAGATTAAACTATCACTTTATTGAAAAATGATTTGGCAATAAATCAATTGCCTGTCTTCCAGTTCCTTTTTTAAAAAGTATGTTAAAAACTTTGTCTCATTAGGCTTGACATCAGCCTATATGTTAACATGGTCACTCTTTTGGGAGATGAAAAAAACCCTAAAATTTAGTTAAGGAAGTTCGTGATCATATTGATCCAGTAAAGACATGCCTTTTTCATCCCGGACTCCTGGTCTTCAATTCTCTTTTTTTCCCTCATATATTACTCTGATTTTTCTTGTTAGTTTATTAGTTGTCAGAAAGTTTCTTCCTTCCTAGTTCCTTCAATTTAGACCAATTTGGAAATGGAAAAGTGTGTTAATTTTTTAATAAATCTTTAAGACACACATTACTGTATTTTTATTAACTGAGCCAGATGGCTCACAGCAAATTTTCTCTGACATAAGTAATCACAGAAATCAGTTTGGGACCCAAATCTGGTATGGAAAGTGACATGTATATTCAGTGGAAAAATGCAGTTCACATAAACCATATTATGGATATTTTTAGATGCAATATTTGTTACTATTTGGATTTCATCTTATTTTATTGTTTTAGGCCAAGTACAAAGTAAGGACGTATTTTTTTCCTGTCCCCAAGACCCGAGCATTCAAGGTTCTTCTTAACAACCCCAAATTGTTTTCTTTCTGCAGTTTGAAGGTTGCAAAAAGGCCTTTTCAAGGCTTGAAAATCTGAAGATTCACTTGCGGAGCCACACAGGCGAGAAGCCCTATCTGTGCCAGCATCCGGGCTGTCAGAAGGCGTTCAGTAACTCCAGCGACCGCGCCAAACACCAGAGGACACATCTGGACACTGTAAGATGGCAGGAGCTTTCCAACTGCCAGCCCAAAGCCCCGGTGTGAGGAAGTGCCTGTTTGATAGAGGGATGGTGAAAGTGTTTGCTTTATGCTCTGCAGGTTACAGGGACAATGCCAAGGGCAGCAGTGGAACCTGGGAAAGGGCCAGAAGGGGCCCTGTTTGGCTGTTTCATTTTAATGTAGTCGCAAGTTATTCTAAATATTACAGCTGTGTGGGACAAAGGTGGTGTTTGATCACTTCTGTAAACAAAGCAAAGTCAGTTGAGAGGGTGTGATGTAGTAGATTTTAGTACAGAGAATGACCACTAGAGGTTGGGCATTAAAATTACAGAGCAAAATCAGTTTAGAGGGTGTGATGTAGTAGATTTTAGTACAGAGAATGACCACTAGAGGTTGGGCATTAAAATAAGTATTCAGACATCAAAACATATTAAAATAGATCATGCATGCTATTGCTAGAAATATGAAGTGTTTTGGGTTCGTTTGTTTGTTGCTTTTTGTTTTTACCCTGGTTCTTTCCTTCCTGATGTAAGAACTTTGCAGCTGACATGATTTTTGAGAATGAATCTGGCCTTTTGCAATGGAAACCACCTGGTATTTTCACCTTCAAGCGATCTAAAAAGAAACAGCAAATCTTTCCCAAGGGTTCAGTTTCATCACGCTTCCTACGTGTTAACAGCCACATATCCTTCAACATCAATCCTATGAGAACAATCGATTTTCATTATTACATCCTTAACTCCCTTAATGCTGCAACATTTTGCTCATTCGCAAATGCCTTTTCTTCGACTCTTGTCTTTTATTTTTCTCAGTTATATTGATAACCCTCCTTTGCATTTCTCAGGTTTTGATGCCATTTTCCTTACATGAGGACAGGTTGACTCTATGTGATTTCACTTCACTTAAAGCCATCAGGATAAATGTATTATACACATCACAGATCTCATCCCACGTTCTTGCAAATAATGTATTCATGACAGTACTTTTTCAGTGTTAACATTCTGATGTCTATTATTAAACTGCACCAGAGTTTGAATTTTGAAAAGATACTGTTATTTCTACACACCTTCTCATACATATTTAAGATTCTTCTGATGTTATAGTTGACATATTTATTAAATTTTTATATTAGTTTCGATCAGTCATATTGATAGAAGTCACTTTAGCTATATGTCACATAACCTTTCTAAACAGAATTATCTCCTAATATACATAAATGTGATGGTTTGCCTAGTAAATATCTGAAATATAATTAGAGCAATATGGGTGTTGGATGAACCCCTTCTGCTGTCACTGAATTGAATTCAGTGATTTTAAGACCAATGGAACAGAATATTAAATGAACAAATTTGGAGAATATTGGGATTTTTAAAAGGAAAAAAGGAAAAAAGAATAAATTATGTTAAAGTGCCCTATTTTGTTGTGCCTAAAATAGTCTAGGTAAAATCCAATATATTTTCCAAATTGTCATTAAACTTTATTATGGAAGAATGAACACTCACGAGACATGATTGTCATGAGAAGTTGCTTCTCCTCTAGCTATTTATCTGTAGTTTGAATGAACTATTGTGAGGCCAAGAGTTATGGTTTTACAATACCTTTCTTTGCATGGAGCTGATTTTAGTTAATCAAACTAAGAGCACTTTCAAAAATCATTATAGAATTTAAAAAAATACGTATTTTTCAAAAACCTCCTGAGGAAAGCTACCCAAGATAATAATTTTGTGATTTTAGTTCAATGCAATAGCTTTTAAAATTCAGCTATTTTAAAAAAATTATTTCTCTATTAAATCTTTTAAAACCATCAGTTTTTCTTTAAGCTGCAAACAAGCTCCTGTTTAAATTTTTACTACATTTAACAAATTAGTAAGCCTTTTAAAAATCATATAGAAATTAAACACTTGTTTTAAAAAGCAAACTGTAGTTGCTTGAAGAATTTATGATTTCTTTCGTTAAGCACTCCTATGCTAATGCTGTCAGAATTTTGGATAAAGTATCTATCTTCAACTAAATGGATTCTTTACTCATAGGAAAATAGTTTTCCCATGACTATTACTGAGTTCATAATCCTAACACTGAAAAGGTTTTAATTCATTTCTGTATTATCATCTTAGTATCTATACAGGGTAAGTAATTATACAGTACAGATGGAAAATAATGAAATATATAGTTTGATGAAGCATGCCATGTCATTTGAAGTTTAGGTAATGTGACATAAAATGACCAGTACAGCAGTACTGTTTAGACCAGTCCCTGACATTGCTGCTTTGGCATACTGGTCTCAGGTAGTTCTGACAGATAGGGGAAAGAGTGAAGGGAAACTGGAAGGAATGATGTATATCCAATCTTTCTCCAAGACCATCCCCAAATCAAATACAAAATGACATTACTAACTCAAATCATAGCGACCATGGTATTAATAATGGCATCAATTATATATATAGCATGTTAACTTCCACAAAGCCTTTTTACATGTAAAATATCCTCTAATGCTCAAAACATGAACTTATGTTGTCCCAATGTGTCTGCCAGTAAAGACATTGGCTAGTTGCTCCCCTAAAGCCAGGGGAGGGTAGGGAAGGCTAGTGAAAGAAAGCCGTGTGAACTCAGAAAAGATTCCCAGTTTAAGGAAAATCTTTGCTTCCCCAGTGGAAACGCATTGGCAAGTGACCTGAGCCAGTAATTGACTCACCATTTTGTAAAAGCTGTGAAGTACTGAGGGCCTGGTTCATCCATCGTTCATTGTTAGATCCCTAATATGTAACACAGTGCCCAGCACATCCTGGAAGCATAAGCGTTGCTGGGTGATTCAATCAATCAATCAATCAGTCAGTGAACAAACACATCAGATATCAAACTTAGAGTTCAAATCAAGCGTATTCATTTATATATTCATAATTTTACCTTGTTTTTGAAATAAAAATGACAAAAGAAAAAGAGTGAATCATCAATATGTCTTAAAATGGGGCAAATATGTAATCCACATAGAGTTGGCCCACAAAATAACAAGCATGCATGTGAAAATAGGAGCAAAATATAAACAGTAAAAGAAAGCAAAATCTGAATTCTCTTTTGTCAAAATAAAAATGACAAAAGAAAAAGAGTGAATCATCAGTATGTCTTAAAATGGGGCAAATATGTAATCCACATAGAGTTGGCCCACAAAATAACAAGCATGCGTGTGAAAATAGGAGCAAAATATAAACAGTAAAAGAAAGCAAAATCTGAATTCTCTTTTGTCAGTAGTATCACAGGTTTCTATAGCAAGAATCCTATTTTAGAGACAGGGTTTCAATTCTCTTCCTTACATTTCACATCATGTAGGCATGGCTCTAATATCTTACCTGATGAGATACTAAGTATACCAGTGACTATTAACACATCTTATAAACACAATTAATGCTATGATTTTTTTTTTCGGTTCTTGGAATAAGCAGAAGGTTTTGATTTATCTCGCAACTGAAGAGTCATAGTCTCAAACCCTTGATATGAATTTTATCGTTACAGTAGAAGTCGGTGCTGAAATATGAATGGATGTGAGGTGCTCTTATTCATTGGTTCATTCACTCATTCATACATTCATTCATTCCTAACAATTATATACCAAGCACCAGAGATACAAAAATAGAAAATATCCTAGACTCAGTCTTAGGCTGCACACCTCATATCTCTCAGGAGTGTGGAGGAATTAGAATAGACAGAATTTGTGTTCTCATCACACTCAGCCAAGGGCTTATTTCCATAACTCAGGTTTAGCACCTTGGCTTCTCTGCAACTAATACTATTAATGTTTCCCTGGCTGATTTTTCATGTGTCTGTTGTTTGAAACCTACTGTCTCTTACTTGCTTTACAGTAATTTTCCTTTCTTAATTCTCTCCCTTTCTCTGAATCAGGTTTCTTCTGAAACATACCCAGTCTTTTCTGGACTTTTCTACAGCTTCTTTACCTGAACCCTTAAAGAATATGTGTTTACTAGTTTCTGACAGTACCAAAGATATTTCTCAGGGAAACCTAACTGTAAGTATGACTGGAGATGCTTACTAATCATTTCCACATTAAAAAGGCCACAAGAGAGTTTGTGGTTAGAGTGAATAGTAAAACAATCTCTCAAAAATCATCAAGGATAGGCCATCTCTTTGTTTCTTGAAAGTTTTCCCTTTGCCACGACTGGGCTTTCTAATTAAAATGCATGAGTGTTACCCAGCAGTTCACATCAGCCAGTTCGTAACAGTTCATGCTCTGAAGCCAACAGTCTTTGAGTAAAACCTTCCCCAGTTACCTTTATGATCTAACCACAGCTGTTTCTTTCTTTCTTTCTTATTTAGAAACCTTATGCTTGTCAGATTCCAGGATGTACCAAACGCTACACAGACCCAAGTTCCTTAAGAAAGCATGTGAAAGCACATTCTTCCAAAGATCAACAAGCGAGGAAAAAGGTAAGTATAGAGGAGAATTTTTCCATCCAGAAAAAGTACATTTAAATTAGTCTTGCAGTGCTAGGAGCTTCTGCAGGACACTGGAAATTCTTATAGCTCTCCAGGTGTTACATGCTACAGACTATTTGAGGAGGGAAGTCTTCCGTGAAATAACAGCAAGGCTATGGTTTGCATAGGTTGATATAGCCAGATAAGAATTTCTGGGGAAAGCTTGTATAATAAGAATCAGAGAAAATTAGTGAAAGTCACCCAAACCAGAAAGTAACAAAAGGCTTTTATGGAAATTAAGTCCAAATAGCTAAAGAAAATTGAATTGGGAAAAACAACAACGAAAACCTTTTCTGGAAAGATGTGCTTTTTCATAAAATATCAATTGGCTAAAATCATTTTAGCTCTAGTGAAGATGGGAAATGTATCTCTAGGATAAGTAGAGAGCATTCCTCACTTGAAGCTTAGAGAAAAAGCAGGTTTCTTGATAGGTACTGTGTATGAAAATCTGAAAAGGAATTGAACTTAACACCACTTTGACAATGATGGATTAATGCATTTTTCAAAGTATGTAAAAATCATAATATCTCAGATTTGGAAGAAATGTTAAAGATCAACCAGGTAACCCACCTGACTTGCTCTCACAGCCTCCTAACATCTTCAGCCAGTGACTGGTCGTGCCATGCGTCAACACCTGTAGAGACAGGGAGCTCACTACCTTTCAAGGAATTTCCTAATAACTGAGTTTTAAAATTTTTGGACCAAGGGGTATCTTCTGTCTATGGCAGAAAGCATGTCGAGCTGACCTTAATGTTTTGAGTGTTTCATTTGTACTGAGACGGGTACTGGGAAATGCTATACAGCCTTTTGGTTACTTGAGTTTTTTCTTCCTTGAAAGATGTTAGCACAATACCAGCTCATATATGGGAAAAAAAATTGACCTCTTTCCTGTGAGTCAGACAAATGCTGAGTTAGAAGGATTTGATAGATATTCTTAATTGTATATGAGCCCACTCTTGTAAGTCAATTGTTAAAATCATTTTTTTTCTCTAGATGTATAATTCAATCTCTTTATTTCGAATCCCAGCAAATTGATATCTCTGATTATTTGGCATGGATTAGATTTGTTCTTGTATTTTAGAAAAGCAAAGGAATTGCTAGATGGATTAATAATGTAAATAAAGTTGGAAAGAAGATTCTCAATCTTAAAATAAAACACCATTGTTGCATACTATTAAGTACTTTCAGCAGGACCACTGTCTAAAGGCTTTTGTCATTATTTATGTATCTCTTATAAATTTTAAGGAATAAGTTATATTTGTAAAACACACACCACACACACACACACACACAAACACCCAACCTTCCAAGTGAGAAGTTTTTCCCCTAAGTCTGACCATTCTTTGCCTCCAAGTTGTCCCAAATATTTGAGGTTTTACTGTAATAGCAACACACACACACACACACACAAACACCCAACCTTCCAAGTGAGAAGTTTTTCCCCCAAGTCTGACCATTCTTTGCCTCCAAGTTGTCCCAAATATTTGAGGTTTTACTGTAATAGCAAATCTATCATAAGATTGGAGATCACCTTCGTAGAGAGTAATTGTCATGGACTTGAAAGAATGTAAGTTCTCTATCTAGACAAATAAGCAGCAATATGATGTTTAATTTAAAAAGGTAACCTAGGTTGACAGGTCTGGAAGCATAATGGGATATTTTCAGGAATTGTTCATGGTTTCTACTGTTCAAACATGGTGTGTTTCAGCCTCTATATAAAGGAAGAGTAGTTCTGATTGTGTGAAAGATTCTTGATGCACTAACTGGAAAAAGAAAAACAGACCTGAGACTACAAAATATAATTTTATTGACAATTTGCAGACAACCTTCAACAGGCAATCTAGATAACAAGGGTATACTTTCCAGGAGCAGAATTAAAATCTCATGTCAAATGTTGCTGTGTTCTCTTAATTTTGTTTTATGTAAAGTCAGAGATTGTCATTCAAATGGTTTGGCTTTTGATGTTCACTCTGTTTCCTGCAAATCGTTGAATTGGATTTTGTTGACTTTTGTTGCCCAGCCCTTAGTGACAAGTTTACTGTGTTTACTTGCCACATTTAACCTGACTTTTTATCTGAGGATTTTTGAATTCCTTTACGAATCTGTGATGGATTAATTTGTGGAGATTAAAATGATGGAAGTTGTTCCATTCAACAGAAAGAGGAAATGTCACGCCCAGGAAAAGCGGTTGCTAATAAACCTGAAATCAGTCAAACCACATTTCCAAATCTTGTGCTGATATACCAGTGTGTAATATTTACATGGTACAATGTTGTTACTAGACCTTGGAGAGATTCTAATTGCTCACTCACATTAGGACTTGGTATTTGAAATATTTCCTGGCAGCCATAATAGAAAAAAAGAGAAAGAAACAATAAACGTTTTAAGGCAGAATTAAGATTATTTACGACTTTAATTAAAAATTGAAAACTGGCATCATTTCAAAAAAGCCTTTACAAAAATGTGAATTCATCAAAAATAACCATAAAAATTCCAAGGTGATAAAGGCACAGTGGAGGAATGGTCCCAGCCCTAGGGAATTGCTTTGTTGAAAAGAATAAAACCCTTTTCTGTCACACCCTGTTAGTCATGGACTCATTTAATATACCCTGCCTGCCTGCCTGCCTCTAATCCTCTTTTTAACCTCCCCCTAGACACTAAATGACATTATTTTGGTCTTAACATTGTCAGCTTTATGAGGCCCTACTCTGAAATCGGGGCCAGTGACTAGGCACCCATAGCTGTAAGATAAATATATATCAGGTGGGGCAGAGATCTCATAAGTGATGCCCTGGCCGTGTGCATGTGGCCCTTTCCTGCACCTGTTGGATCCTCCTGAAAACCAAGAACCCGAAAACTCAGCTAAACATTATTCAAGCTTTGAAAAGAAAGAAGTGGGGGGAACCTTTTTCTGCAAAGAAATGGGGATAATTTGGCTCATTGAATGCAGACAGTAACTTTGCTCTTTGCATAATTCGTGCACACCTACACATCCCATCAGCCGATGTACAGACTCCTTCCATCGACTGCGCTTTGCAGATCTTGAGTCCATTAAACCAAGGTCTACACAGACTGATGAGCATTGAAATACTCAAGTCACCAGCTATAGTCTCCACTGAGAATAGAATTTAGCCTATAGAGCAAAAGGCAGAATCTGTCCTTCAATTTTGTCTAATAATGAGTGAGTGAAATAAGAAAACTAAGGCAATAAGCCACTTGAAGTTTTTCTCAAGGCTATGAGCTTTATCAGAATTTTTCATTTTCATGTTGGAGTGCCATAAACAGGGGGATTTCCTTCAACTCTAGCCTGTTATCAAAATGGACTTTTTAAAAAGTGAATGCAAAGAATGCCTGGCCAAAAAGTTAGAGGTGACATGAATCTTTTATACATTTCACACTTCCACAAAGCTTCTGAACTTTGGGTGTGATTTGTTGAATGTTTGTTAGACATTGACCTTTGATCCACATGGTTGATGACTTTCCTTTCTGCAACCTCAGCGCAGGCTGTTATAAACCAAGCATAGCCTTTGAAATGTGTGTAAATACAACACTAAATACGTGTTTTTCCTATTTAGAGAACAGTTCTGTGTAGATCTCTGGCTAAGTTAGGGCAGCTTATTTAATGCAACTCTTCATGGAAACTGGCAATTCTTTGGAATCTGTTCAGCCCCACCACCCCTCCACCATCTATACTCAAAACTACAAGCAATTTTTTTAAGTACCACATAGCCTCACTTTATCTTGGGCAGTTCTTGGAATCTTGAAAAGCTATGTGAAAATATATCTCCCCCCTAAATTGAAGCATATATTCAAAGGACTAATGAGGCTCACTTTTTCTATCAGTTATTTTCTGTCATGGAGTGTATGGCGGGTGGCTTACACAAGTGGGGTACACAATCAGGGGCTTCCCCACACATTGCAATCCCTTTTCATTTTTTCTTTCATGATTCTGCTTGGAATAAATTAAAAATCACTCCTATGATTAGTGGAATATTAGTAATAGGCGCATATCACAGACATATCTTCTCCAGGTGAACCAGTCCACCCCTTCTCTCACATTTAAGAAACTGTATTGGAATGCAAGTGGGTGAGAGTGACACTGTTAGAGGGGTGACGTTCAAATAGCACTTGTTTTTTTTGAGTCACAAACTTCTGTACTTTAGCAGTTGCTAGTGACAAATTACTTATATCACACCTCAAAAGACATATCCTGATGCCTTGGCTGAGAATAACTTATTTCCAGAAAGACTCTGAGATATGATTTTGTAAAACAAATATTTTTGGTTAAAAATAGTGATGCTAATTAATAATTAAATTTAAATGAAAAAACAAGTCATTTTAAATTTAACCTTATGTCAGTAGCACTGATCTGGAGTTGAAACTAGTTGCCTGGAAGTTTCTATTTTAAGTAGACCCAATATGATGCCAGCTATGCTTTCTAGAGCATTTTGGTACTTCATGGGGATTTTAAAAGAGTAGAGATTCCACATTTGCAGGAGTTGGGGAAGGTTAGCAACGACAGCCAAGTTTCTATTTTAAGTAGACCCAATATGATGCCAGCTATGCTTTCTAGAGCATTTTGGTACTTCATGGTGATTTTAAAAGAGTAGAGATTCCACATTTGCAGGAGTTGGGGAAGGTTAGCAACGACAGCCACCAGTTAGTTAGAATACGCTTCTGTTCCTTTCCTCAGTGATCAGAAAAGCTATCATAGCCTTGGAAATACAGGAAAGTATTCACCACAATCTCTGGGGTGATGGGCCAGGGTCTTATTTAGCACTTTAGCTGTTTCTCAAGGTGTGTTCCTTAGAACACATTCCACAGGTTATTATTAGATATTTCTTTTTAAAAGTTTTTTATTTTCATGTAAGTTTAGGAATCACTGAGTTAGATACTATTCAATGGTTTCCTTCTCGCAAGAGCTCTTAGAACCTTGGCTATATCAGTACTCC